TGATAAAGTGTACAGTTACATAGGTATTTGATTGCCGCTAGGGCACCTAAATACAACAGGTTGATCCCTTTTCTATGTGTTTAAGTGTTCTTATAAGAATTGGGGGCTGTTTGTTTCAGCCTCTTAATGGTTCAAATGTCTGAATGATTCAGCACTTAATGGTTCAGACTGTTTGTTTCAGCCTCTTAATGGTTCAGATGTCTGAATGGTTAAGAGATTTGCCTCTGAATGGTTAAGTATTATACAGAGTCTGAATGGTTAAGAGCTGTTATCTGAATTGATCAGACATTTGCCTCTGAATAGTTAAGCAATATACTAGCTCTTAATGGTTCAGACCTCTTACTAGTTCAGAACTTAATGATTCAGACCTCTTACTGGTTCAGCACTTACCCATTCAGAAGTTGCCAAACAGCCCCTTGATGTTTGGTCTTTTTTGTTGATTTGGCTAATGGCATGTTCCAAATCCAAATGTGAGTTTGAATTAGCATTTGATGCAGCGGTTACTGCACACAATATGAATAGCGTTTCTACTTTGTGCTACTATTGGACCTTTCCTTTTGCTTTATTTTGTTGATTATTGGGCGAGACTACTTCGAGTTTTTGATGCTGGATTTTTGCACCAATTTATGTTCCTCTTTCTTGATGGCTTGCAATGGTGCGTGACTTGTAATAGTTCAATGTGGTGGCCAGTTAAATTGAATTGGTAATTTGGTCTGATCTTTCATATTGAATGAACTAGAACTTCCATTCCCATGGGTGATAATGGTTTGGTCCTGATGTTTGTACTCTTGGAAAATTATTGTCTGGATATTACCCCTAGGAAAGCTGATGTTTGGACCTCCAACCTGCCCAACTACTTTGTAGTGTGCCTAGGCAGGAAATTGGAACTGAAAAGGTTTGCTGGAGCTGTTGTTTTGACCTGCAATAGACTGAATTTTACGTGTTGCTAAAATCAAGACTGTTTCTTGTGATTTGGACAGTGGCAACCTCTTCACAGGTGGCCTTTTTCTCATAGAATGCTGCTGAATTTTAAGGGTTTTTGTGTTTTTTTTTTGAGACTTGTTTGGGCAACATCCGGGCTGGAGTTTGGAGCTGTACTTGCTGCTGAATTTACTCCTATTATCCCTGGTTTATCTTACTTATGGAGGTAACCAGTGGCTAAAAATGAAGTTTGGTTGGATGGTATCAATTGAGGATAGAGCTGCTGAACTTGAGTGTATGAACTGTTTTAGAGGCTGTTTCGCCACTCCTAGGACTACTCTGGACAGATTCACGGATCCTATGTGGCTCTTTAGCATTGATTGGCTGGTACTTGAAGGTGGTCTACTCGATGGTACTTAGAGGTGCACTTGGGAGTCAAATACCTTAGATTAGAGGTCATGGACTGTGTTTTGGGGAAATGATTGGACTCGAAGCTGAAACTGAACTATGGGGCATTGGTTTGCTCCTGGTTTGCACCGATTTGCTGCTGGTGTTGCTCCTGTACTTGGCCAAAAGTAATACTAGAGGTTGACTTCGTTGCGTTTCCTACCTATCCACTTGATGTGTCTGAACTCAAACCGAGGGCATCAATGAATGAAGGCTTTCAGGACAATGTTACAACTTCTAGCACTCGGGCCTTGGCCCTTTGGCATGCGAGCGGATAACCTTAAGTCCTTAACATCTATATATAGTGTTGCTTGTTTTGTCCCTCTTTATTTAGCCCTGCACCCAACAGATTGAGGAAGCATCTTTAGAAAAGAAATCCAAGATGTCAACTCGAAGAACAAGACCCCCTCTAGTGCAAGGCTTTGTTTCAGACAATAATGGCGAGCCAAAGCTTGTGTGCGATAGATATAGCAGACCCTTTATGTTCCTCGGGCCACCATTCTACATTCATTGTGGGTCCCACGCACTATTTGGATTTTGCCATCTTTTTGTTTCTTTTGCTTTTATGAGTGAGATTGATTGATTGTATGAGTTCCCAATTCCCTTTGTGTGTAGCGGGACATTACAGAACCTCTCCATGTAATTTTTATATTCTTTCAATAAAAGTGTTTATTTTTTAAAATGATAATCGTTTTAAACATCGGTTATTTGATTGTTGTCTAAAGTTTCGCCCAAAATTACAAAAGTAAAGTTAGATAGTGTACGCATATTCATTGTAGTGAAGGTTATCGTTTCTTTTATATTCTTTCAATAAAATTTGAGACTTAATAGCTAAACTACTGTTTAAAAAGAGTATACTTAACTTATTATATATAACTCTAGCAAAACAATCATATGACACAGACAATTAGTAATAGATTACTATTTCTCATAATTTTAAAAACAGTTTTACGCTTGCTATCCACACTACTCTTTAAAAGAGTTTTTTTAACTTATTCTAGACAACTGTGAAAAAAACCCGTGTGACACAGAATACTTGTTGTAACGCCCCAAAATATACCCTAAAATTTATTGAATTAAATATTCAATTAAACAAAATTTGTTTTGATTAAAATAAATTGTTGTTGGGCTTTGGGCTGAAATAAAATATATATTGATATCCAATAAACATGATTGGGATAAATCTCATAGATATAAATCCAACATGTTGATTTATTGTGTGATATTGATTGGGAACCTGAGTACAGACCCAAATTAAGAATATATGAAGAAATTGTTTATAATGTGAACTTTGAAATGATTTATTGAAATAAATCATGGAAATAAATAATATGAATTAAATGTGAGAACCTTTTTGAATAAAGGTCAATTAAACCAATTTTGACTCTGTCAAAGTCAACCACCCAAAAATATGATGTCGGAAAAAGTATAACGAATAAATATAAAAATTATATCGTTAGATAGAGTTTAACTGTCTGATCGCAACGGTGCAATCGGATTTCAATTCGGAGAAAGTTGGACCAAAAAGTGTTCCCCGACTGGGACCAAATTAGTCCCAATCAGGGACTTGCGTTTGGAAT